GATTTCTCACTTTCTGTCTTTTTGGTGAGTGCACACACCCTAAAGCAAAAATCTCTCAAAAAAAAAAATACTAGTAAATAAAATTAAATAAATATTCAAAAAATTTTGAATCAAAATCTAAAATAAAAAAGGTCCTTGGTTGTGGCCAGTGGTGCAGTGGTAATGAAACTGAACCTACATGGGAAAGATTTTCGGACCACATCCTGGGACCTCCCCTAGCATGCCAGGCACATGTGTGCCCATGATTCTGGCTGGCCCAGATTGGGAGTAGATCTTAATGTGATTTTAGTGTGTGTCAGTATGTCTGTTTCTGTCTCTCTCATGGAAGAAATAAATCAATAAACTTTAAAAACTAATGAATGGGTGAGCTGGTGGCATGGTGGTTAAGGCAGGTGGATCCCCACATGGCTGTGTTGCTTGGGTCTTAGACCTGGAGGGTTGAAAACATGTCAGGTGCCTAAAATCCCAAAAGGAGAAATGGAGGAGAAGGGACTGCAGTGTGGCTGACCCCCATGTGAAGTACTTTTTCACTTTCTCTCTCTCTCTATCTCTGGTGAGTACACACACATTATGGCAAAAAGTAATAATGATAATAATGCTTAAAAATGATTCATGGAGAATTCATAAACTGTGGTATGTTTACACAATGAAATACAACCCAGAAAAAAAATTTAAGGATATACTCATATATACAATTGGGACGGATTTCTCACAAATTACATTGTGTAAAACAAGCCAGGTGACAAAAAGTACCTACTGTATGATTTTATATATAAAACATTTAAAACAGGTAAATTAGGGGACTGGATAGTGCTGCAGTGGTAAAATGCAATGCTCAGGGCCAAAATGCGTTACTCAGGGCCAGTAGGTGGCATGGTAGTTGAGGTGCTGGACTCCCACATAGCCGACCATGGTTCGAGTCCTAGACCTGGAGGCTTGAAAATCACTCTAGGCAAGTATGCATGCCCAGAATCCCACAAGGAGAATGGAGAAGGGACAGCATGGCCATCCCCCCAGGGGGATGATTTCTCACTTTCCTTTCCTGTCTCTATTTCTCTCAGGCAGGCACATGCACCCCTATGACAAAAACTTAAAACACATCTACACACAAAACAAAAAGAATGCAATGCTCTTCAAGACTGACTCACATGGAAAGGTTCAGATTCATATCGAAAGACCTTCCTGAACATGCCAGGCAAGTGTGTGTGCCCATGATCTGGGGGTAGCTGATGCTGGTAGCATCCAACCCTGTTGGAGGTGTTGCCTATCTCTCTTGATAATCAAATAAATAAATAAATAAACTTTTTACTTTTTGAAAAAGAGAAAATTAAGCTATATTAATAGAAAACAATCAATGGTTGTCTGGGGTAGGTTTGGTAAGGATCAACTGTAAAGGGACCTAAAGGAACTTTCTGGGGTGACAAAAATGTTTAGATCTTTATTAGGGTGCTGGTTACATCCCATACTTTTACAGTAGTCCAAGTCATCAAATTACATTTAAGACTTGTACATCTTACTGTATGAAATTTGTCTAGAAATAATGGAGATAATGCCTTTTCA